CTTTTTAGCACGTAGCTATTTATTATTAGCATTATTCTTCCGACGTCTGATTTCTTTTTAATTATAGGAAATGCGTTTTTCTAAGGTACATAAACTTTTGGGATTGACTGTATAGCCAATACATCCTTAAATTAACATCTAACGCAATCGGCGTTTCACGGGACAATTTATTCTGCAGAACCCGAGAGCGCTCGCTCACTTGGTGGTGAAAAAAGTTTCCACGATCGCGAGGAACATTATAAATTCTGCCAAGACCACCGAGTAAGTAGGGACAAGTCGTCAGTAATCGAAGGATTTATTTATTAAACGCTACCAGCTTATCAGAGAATTTTCTTTCAGAGACTGTTCATGGTGTATCACATTTCCTTTCGAAGTTCTCAATTCTCAGCTGGTGCACCATCAGCTTTACGCGAAGCTCCTCTGTCAGCTGAATCGATTGAACGTTTCGACAATCCACAATATCCTGATGCACAATTTTTATTGGAATAAAACCGCCAGTATGGTAAGGAATATTACGAACATTTTTATTATCAGTACGCTATTTTAAACTCCTTTCAGATAAAAGATTACAAGTACCTAAGCGTCAAACGAACCAGGGACGAATTCGTATCGACTCTGGAGAGTACCTTGAATTACGTCGTCGACATTATAGTGAACTTTCACAACGAAACTTACAGCGACAGGATGCACGAGTGCATGCGGAAATTTATAGGAGAACCCGCCTATTCCAGGCCTGGATTGTAAGTACTCCGACGAAACGATCTCCAGGGTTAAAAATGCAAACGTTGCGGTAAAAACCAGCTCGATTCAAGGTACGCCACCATGGTTATCGGTGTGCTGGAAGCCTTGCAGAGGAATGCACCTACCATTCTGGATAGGGGCACGAACCACAAGAGCATCGTCGCATTGTCTCGTATGGCGGAGAAGTACGTCCCGATCTGGAAGCCCATCCGCGACGTCGTGAAGGCGTCGGATGTCAGCGACGTCGAGGCGTTCTTGCCGGGCGCGATGATTAACGCGAACGCGTTGCTGAATGACAGGAACGGGAGTATCTGTCGGACGAAGCAAGAATGTCGTAACAGTACGGTTCTGTACGAACGTCTTAGCTCGAAGGAAGCGGAGAAAGTGTTCCGCTACGACCCGAAGGCGTCGAATTACAGCTCATTGGTAGAGATCGCGGATCGATTGTCTCGGAGTATGGATCTGGATCGTATCGATTACGACTTGAAACAGTGGCGCGCGGACGCTTCTTGGAATTTAACGTGGCTGAAGGAGATCCTTAGCCACTTATCCGTCGTTATCGGAGAGGGCGGCAATCTACTCGACGTCGCCAGTAAAATCGACTTCCAGGACGTATCGAACGTCCTCGGGGCTCCCGACGTCGTCGACGGAGTGGTTAATGTACTGAAGGATAAGACGGTGGACAAGCTCTTCGACGGGTAAGGATATTATTTATCAGAGAAACGAGATTAGAGTTACACGAGTTAAATATCTTATAACGGATCGATTGGATATTTGTAAAAAATAGAGTTCGAAATTCGTATATGATCGATTTCTAGATTCGAGGAATTAGTCGAGGACGTGAGACCCTTTGTCGAGGAACCCGTGTTGGACGATATTTATAAAATGGTCCAGGCTTTACAGTCGATGGAAATTTTCAAGAATATAGGCTTGCTCGACATGAAATGTAAGAATCTCACGGTGCAGTATCCATTCGGTTAGACGAGACGAAAAATATCGATCGATTTACTTTCAGACGTTATCAGAGACATGTTCGACAACTGGGACGTGGTAAGATCGTACTTGGTCGACAAGATGGGAATTTCCAACGACGTCGCGCTGACGCTGAGCCAAGCCAAGATAGACATGATTTCCGTCTTCATGAAAGAAAGAAAAGCTCTCGCCTTAAAGGAGATCATTTGCTCGCCGGAGAAGCTCAGCGATATGTTAAATTTCAACAGCAGCCGAATCACCGCCGAAGAAGTCAGCGCGGCTGTCTGTCAGTTCGAGGACTCGCAGACGCAGAACGTGACGATCACGTTGATTAAGAATTTGAATTTCGATTACATCTTCAAGACCGTGAGTGAATTTTGCATAAGAGAAACTTTAATAATACTTTGCTTAATTATTCTTGATGTTAGATGTCATTCGATAATTTCTGGTTTAACGAATCGTTTCAGCTGATGAACGCGAACGTGAAGAATATATTGGCGAACGCGAACCTGACGGAGGCGGAGGGAAAAATGGTACTGAATAATCTGGGAGTGGCCGCGGAGTTATTACCATTCTTCCGAGACAAACTTTCCTCTCAGATGCCATCGGCGGAAGCTTTGGAAACAGATGCGCCGGAACCGGACCAAACGGTCTCCAGTAAGTTATGGAAAACTGGAAAATGAAATTAACGACGGATTTTGTAATCGTATTCGATAAATATTCAAATGCGTTTATGTACTCCAGCCTCAAAGTTCCTCCAAGACGCCAGCGAGATGTTATGCGGTCAGCCGATGGTTTCCGATAATGGTGATTTGTATAAACTCATTTCCAAGTTGGAGGACAACAGTAAAGAATTCGACCAGATGGAACTCGACTCTCTGCCGAGTGAGTAGAGCGGAAAAAATTTTGTACATTCAGTGAATGGAGAAAATGAGAAATTTTGAAATTTTCTTCCGTTTAGCCGATTTTTGCAGAGACACGTATAAAGGCATGGTTGCTATGGGAGGTGGTAAAATTATATGGTCCTACGTGAAACCTTTGCTACGCGGTCACATCCTTTACACCCCGAATTCCACAGTAATTAACAATGTAATGACGCTGGCGAACAGGACGTTCTTGGAAATGCAGCACTTCGGCGTGTTGATGAGTAGTTTTGAAAAGACATTGACCTCGTTGGCGAACCTTTCTGACATGAGCGACAATCTAAAGGACCTTGAGGCCATAATGTCGTCGGATGTCATAAAGATCGCGATCAGATCTTTCGGCGGTGGCAACTTCGAGGGAGGTAAGTTCGTACAGAAACGCGTGCAACGAATAGAAAGCACTTCCATGTAACGTTTCCCCTTATCCCCAGGAGATTTCGCCAACATGAATCTTAGCGAGATCTCGTGGCGACTTAAAAGGTCTAAACGTTTGATCAGAATGGTCGGCATGCTGAATGATTTATTGGAATGCGTGCTCGTGGATCGTGTAAGAGGATTTCGTACCGAGGACGAGATGGAGGCGGAAGCACGGATTCTGATGGAGACGCGAGAGTTTTTAGCCGGTGTCGTGTTCTTGGATAGTCCGTCGGAAAGATCGAGCAGATCGTTGGACCAACAGCTGCCTAACAACGTTATATACAAGATTCGTATGGACGTGGATTACGTGCAGTCGACGAAGCGACTGAAAAATCAATTTTGGATACCCGGACCGGAGAGCAGTTTCATAGAGCATTTAAGATATATGAGGGGATTCGTCCAGCTTCAGGACTCCATCGATCGCGCGATCGTGAGAACAAAGAGTCAGAGAGATTTGGACTGGAAGACTGTCACGCAACAAATGCCGTATCCTTGCTGGAAGGACGTACCGTAAGTTCTAATGAAAGCATTGATTCAGAGTCGTTCCTATTTCTATTCCAATTTTATGTAAAATGATTCGAAATCGTGTAGCTTCCAAACCACACTTTATGAGTCGCAAGGCATAGAGGTGTGTTTCTTCTTCGCTCTAATGATGTGTGTGGGCGCAGCTGTAAGGCACGTCGTTTGGGAACGCGAGTCACAGAATGCAATGGTAAAAAACTGTCGTACAACCATTCGAAACGGCTATTAGTTCACAATTACTTCTCTTAGGTAATGAGCGTAATGGGACTGAAACCTTGGAGAAACACCATGGCTTGGTTTATCACTACATTCGTAGAAGTGTTAATCGTGATGTTCTCTATCGCCACTATTCTCCTAGCTGGCAAAATCCTTCCAAAGTCCGATCCATCATTGATTTTAATCATGATGATCGATTATGCCTTTTCTGTAGTTACCTTCTGGTAAGCATTATTAAAATTTTACCATTTGTAAAGTTCATTTTACTCTTCAAATATTATAAAGTGCTTCTCATAGCAGATATTTTGTAAACATTAGATGCATTCTATTATTGCTTCAATATATAAAATTCTTATATATTTTCGCAATTTTTGTTTGTTTCACGAATTTTCAGCTACATGATCTCGACGTTGTGCAGCTCGGCGAGTCTGGCTGCGATCATCACCGTGGTTACGTTCTTGCTGACATTCATGCCGTACGTCATTGTCATTGCTATGGAGGCCGTTATAGGTCTCGGGTATAAGCTTCTCATCGTAAGTTATCGCCGTCCAGCGTCGCAATAGTATTTCCTGTGACAAATAACGTGTTCGAACAACGCGTTCGCATTGCGCTGAAATTGTCTTCGCTCGCGGCTATTCCCGTGCGACAGACAAAATGTGTTATTAGTCACAACATTTTCTATATTGTAGTAGTAGTTTCTGTAAAAACTACGTATAAAAATTCGTTTGACATTATGAACTTGCAGTGCCTCAATATGTCGACCAGTTTCTGTTATGGCTGTCTGTATGCAGCCAGAAAAGAAGTTCAAGGAATCGGATTAACTTGGGACGCAATGTGGGAGGAGTCCAGCCCCGGTGATCCCATGTCCCTCGGCTTGGTGCTACTAATGATCGCCTTCGATGGTTGCATTTACGCCGCAATCGGTTATCTCGTTGCCAATTACACGAATTCAGGTACTGTCTTTCGGCACGAAATTTGTCTAAACTTCTTAGAACTATCGTAGAATCGATCTTTGAACGTTTGGTGATGTCGCTTATGTTCTCTTTCCTGTGATTTTTTTCTTTGTTTTTCTCACATTGTAAAAGTATTCACGTTCGAGAGTCGTGTAATAAAAACTAACGCAACGCGTGTCTTATACTGTATAGAAAAATGATGTGGTGCCGGAAACATAAAATACGTTCAATGTTTCTATCTTGTGTGTGCATCTCTTTTGTCAGAAATAACAGAGAGACGAATTTAACTTTTACACTTTTAAGTTCACATATAACAATTTGTTCGTCGATGCCACCTACGTGTTCACAATGAAATATCGTTCACCCAAGCACCACTCGTTCGCATTTTACCTTTTCATCCACGAAGAGAAACGCCAGGTCGACGGTGTCGTGGCACCCTTTCACGATCGGTCGCAAAGAAAAAAGAACGAAAAAGACACTGCGCGACACTTCCCTACCTGAAAGCGATGTCGATGGTGAACTGGTGAGTCCCCGGAAAACGGACGAGCATTTGGCAAATCAATTTTCCAGGCAAGGGCTTTCACGAATTGAGGTCCTCTAGCTTATGGTGGGCCGACAAACGTTCCTCTTATGGCAGGCCGAGCTACCTTACCTTCGTCAACAACCTTTATTTCACTAACGACGTTCTCCACTCTTCAGCCACTTACCAAGGTATCGCACTAGCTCGCTCGCTCGTTCTTTCGTTCTCGCACGATACTTCGGCTTATCTCTGACCTCTCTCCTCTCTCTCTTGCTTTCGGCATTTCTGATGCGCATCCCTGCTATTTTATTCAAGCTCCACCTGCGCCGTTCAAACTTCCGCCAAATATAGCATATTCCGCTCGCTGTTTATGTTGCTTCTACGTCTTCTTGTCGAAATTCTTCTACTCTTCAGATATGAATGCAAGTTTTCGAAAGGATCGTCGAGAATCGTCGGCAGTCGCAAAACCATCGATTTAATTTACATAAATATTCCAACCATTTATTTTCTTTGTGAAATTTGCATGGGGAAAACGCTATACATTTGAATTTCGTCGAACGTAAAAGTGTTTGTTAATACTTCCATCGGTATAATTTATCGGACTAATTTATTCAATGTTGGAGAATAGATTCATAAAAAAATAGCTGTTCCAGTCAGAATTCTTATTGATAATCACATTCGCATTTTGCTGGAGTTTCATGTGAACCAACAAACTGTTAGAATATCAAACATTCGAGCATGAGTTTCTTTACGTTTCCTCGCTGGCTAACTACGAGATATTATTTTTCAGATTGCATGCTGATAAACTTTGCATGCGACGCATGAAATGAAAATTTATGTTATACCGTCTCGCAAGGTGCAGCATATTTATTTTTGTGAGATTTTAAAGAGCATGCTTGTCCAATGCATAGTTGGATCTGTTTCATTAATCGAAACACTAATTTCTAGTTAAAAATGCATCACGTGTATTTTGTATCGCGATACAGACGAGGAAAGCGACACGAGTAGCTTGACGGTCAGCGAAAAGCAGGCGGGGGTGAGATTCGAGGGTGTCAGGAAAGTTTACCACACCGATCAGGGTGACGTCACGGCCGTGGACGATTTCACTTTGAAACTCAGCGAGGGTGAGGTGACCAGTTTCCTCGGGAGGAACGGCGCTGGGAAAACTACTATCATGTACGTGAACATTCTTTTTCGAAAGTATCAAGAGCAAGCGGCGAGAGCTAAAGGGGTAAAGGCGAGAACTGGGACCGCGGCGCGCAGTGGACTTATCCCCTTTAACATCGCTGGAAGGGTTTGCCCCGGATTTTCGTTCGTAAACGACGAGGAATTCGGGGAATTCATTCTCGTCTTTCAAGTGTGTACTTTCATTTCAGCAAGATGCTGACAGGGATGCAGGCTCCGACCAACGGTGAAATCTGTTTGAACGGCATTGAGGGTTTCAAACCTGACATAGGGGTTTGTCCTCAGGATAACGTGCTCATCGGCACCCTAACGCCAAGGGAGCATTTGATGTTTTACGCGAAGTTGAAACAGCCCAAAGACGACGCGACCGTGGAACGCGACGTGAACGAGTAAGTCGATTACTTTAATTCCCTTTCAGTTGGTAAGAGTATCTTTAATTATAAATATTATAACACAAAAATGTCAGCTTCCTTTTTTAATTAGTGTTTCGTTAGTACGTATCCAGCCGATAATTCTGTTCGCAGGATGCTGACGTCCTTGGAACTGGGCAGACAGGAGCACGAACCAGTGTACCGGCTTTCGGGCGGTACAAAGAGACGGCTCTGCGTAGCTCTGGCATTCCTAGGATCACCGAAGCTGGTGATCCTGGATGAACCTGGCGCCGGAGTGGATCCCGCGGCGAGGCGAAGGATTTGGCGTCTAATCGATCAGCACAGGATTGGCAGGACCGTCATCCTGTCAACTCATCATTTGGACGAGGCCGACATGCTCAGCGACACCGTTGTCGTGATGCACAAAGGAAAGATACTCTGCACCGGATCGCCCCTGTCGTTGAAGATGATGCACGGTCGCGGCTACAGACTCCTCGTAACATTCCCAGCCGATCGTGACGCCGATTCGATAGATAAAAAAAGATTGGAGACACTGAGAGGTATGATCGAGGATGTGGTTCCCAACGCTACAATAAATGAGACATCAGGGACGGAGGTAGTCGTCATACTGCCATTCCAAGGGATGAACGGTACACAGAATAAGTAAGTTAATAGCTGCTGACCTTGTTAATTATTAATTAGCATAAGTCTAATTTTAATCATGGATCGACTGCGTAAAATCGTATTCGTTAAACTATACCATTTCGTTGGATGATTCGTGTTTTAGTATAGTACAAGTTGCCAAGGTTTTGGAGGACAATAAAAAGATGTTGGGTTATTCGCATTTCTCTTTGGAATGCGACAGTTTAGAACAGGTATTTCTGGACTTGTGCGCTAGAGCAGAAGGTGGGCCCTCTGTTATCAAAGCCAGCCAGGATAGTGTTATCAGTGTGGAGACCGGTGGTGCGTACCATCATTACATTATATGTCTAATCTGCTCTAATTTCTATCGGAATTAATTTTTTATAGATGTGACGATGTCTAAACATGATTTAATTAACACCGAGCCGACTCCGAGACCTTCGCCCATTAGGCAAATAAAAGCTTTGTTGAAAAAGCGAATTTGGCACTTCCGTAAGGACTGGCTGACATTCGCGGTTGGTCTCTTTTTGCCGACAATGTTCGTTGCGGTCGCTATGGGATTCTCTTTGATCAGGCCACCGTCCGAGGATGAACCGCCATTAATTCTTACGCCCAAGCTGTATGATACCCATCCGACTTATTTCTACAGGTAAGTACGAAAAACTTAATTGCCCGTTAATTAATTGCTAATTATTATCTATTATCCGTAATTTTCAGCATCGATAACGGCGACGACTCGTTTTTGCAACACGTATCCCTACAGCTTCACGATCGATTTGGGGACGACTATGCTGGTGCCTGGCAAACATTGCCAAATGTACGATCTTTGTAAAGTTTCATTGAAAATACATCCGCGGGGCAAACGTTAGCGTCTGCAAATATTTACATTCTTTTTATTCATCAGGACACAGGTACCTGTGAATGTTTGGACGGTCAACAGGTATGCCATGGTGTATCGCAAGCCGTCGAAGGTCTCTTGCAGGTATTACCAGGTAGGCCTACTCTGGATTGGATAGTATCGACCCACCAGGAGTATATAGAAAAAAGGTAAAAGAACATACCACGAATATACCTATCGCGGAAAACGTTTGAAAATCATTCGGAAATTAAATATTGTTCCATCATTTTGCAGATACGGGGGTTGGTCATTGTCTCACGAAAAAGACGAGCCACTCTTTGTCGTCTGGTACAACAACAAAGGGCATCATGCTCTACCATCATACTTAAGCGCTTTGAACGAGGCAGTTTTGAGGGCGTCGGGAGTACAAGGCCGCTTAACAACGCTCAATCACCCTTTAAGACTCTCCAGCGATCAACTAAATCGAACGACATTGTAAGTTCTAGTAGAAATGAAGAAAAGTACATGTATTCGTACTCATTATATTTTCGTGAAGTCAATTCAATTAAGGGCAAAGATTAGAATAAGCAGGCTGATCACAACGGTGCCGGGCTAAGTGCGGCAGAAAATGTGCATAACAAAATTGCACGTGTTGCGTTTACTTTTAATTAACTCTGCGCAATCGCCCAGCCGCTGAAGGTTTTAACAGGATTTCACGGTTTTCATTATTCGGATCCTCTTTCCTTTCGTTAATCTGCTTAACGATCTCGCAGCGCGATTCTTGTCTATTCTGATTTAATTGTCACCGACTCGAACCTCGGAACGTTTCACAATTTTATTTAGGCTACAACACGTGGCGGACGTCGGGGTGGCGTTGGTACTTTTGATCGCTTTCAACTTGGTGGCTGCTCAGGGCTCGAAGGAACTCGTCAGGGAAAGATTGACGGAGGAGAGGAGAATTCTTTACCTAGCGGGTGTGCATCCTATCACCTACTGGATAACAGTATTGATCTGGGACTTCTTTGTAAGCGATCAAGAGTGAAACGCAAAAGGGGATGAAGAGAATCAGGAGATTGAATTGTTCTCCTTCCAGGTCTTCGGCTGCTCCATTGTTTTAGCGGTGATAGTCTTCGAGATCTTTGGCCTTCCCGCGTACGTCGCAAGGGGAAACTTACCTGGGATCTGTGTATTACTCCTCCTCTTCGCGTAAATATTAATTTACACGCACCGTTCGTTATATTTATATTATATTTTTTATTAAATAAATGTCCATATTTGTAGTTGGGCTGCGCTACCGTTCTCGCATTTAACGGAGAAGGCTTTCGACGATTCAAGTATGTCGAACATGGTGCTCTTCTGCGTGAACACTTTCATAGGCGTAGCTTCCCTGGCAACGATACTGGTCCTCGACATTCTGGGCAAAACGAAAAGCGCGGAGGACGCGCGTAACATTTTGCATAACATTTTATTGATCTTCCCTCAATACGCCTTGGGCGATGCCCTCGTGCAAATATCGCGGAACGATATTACGGCTCAATTGTTGGAAAAGTTCCACATGGACACCTACAAGCCACCGTTAAGTTGGGATCTTCTGGGTCCTCACTACGTTTACCTCACAGTTATTGGTGTCATTTTGTTCTCATTAAATTTGCTGATCGAGTGTGGACTGTTGCCCAATTGGAACAAGCAGAGATGCCCTTACGAGGTGATCCAAGAGGACGAGGACGTGTCGAAGGAGAGGATGAGAGTCGAGAGTGGAATGTCCGATGATATTTTGCAAACGGTGAAACTCAGGAAAGAATATAGCAGCGTTTACGGGACAAACGTAGCCGTGCAAAATTTAAGTATCGGGGTGCAGGCCGGTAAGTGCTTTGGTCTTCTGGGTACGAACGGCGCCGGAAAGAGCACCACGTTCCGGATGTTGACTACGGAGGTCATACCAACCGTGGGTAGGATCGTTTTACAAGGGAAAGAAATCAGCAAGGGGCCGTTGTGCAACGGCGAGATCGGCTATTGCCCTCAGAGCGATGCCCTGGACGGTTTCTTGAGTCCGCATCAGTGTCTGACGATTCACGGGGAAGTTTGCGGACTGAGTAACGTTTCCAAGGTGAGGGTTGATTTATGTCGAAACTTCCGTCCTTCTCCCTTTCCCTCCGTTCGAGTTCCTACGAGTTTCATCCTCGCGGACCTTTAAATAACTTCCACGGCGTGGATTTCGTTTTTAATTATTTCGCGTTCGAGTTTCCGCGAGGGAAAAACGGTTACAAAGCAGTCGGGAATTTCTCGCATTTTTCTTTTTCATTTCCCTCGTCCTTTTTCCCTTGTGTTTTTTTCTTTGTTTCCTACGAGACGAACTCCTTCTGCGGATGAGCCGTAAAAGTTCCTCATCCACTCTAAGAGTTTCTTTCCTTAGCGCAGTACGTGCCGTCCGGCTTCCAGGAATTTAATATTACCCCGTGAAAAATTGTTTGTTTCAGGCGGTCGAGTCGGCGCTGAAGAGGCTCGATCTGCTGAAATACGCGCACAAGAGAGTGAGCAGCCTCAGCGGCGGTAATAAAAGGAAACTGTGCACCGCCTTGAGCGTAATGGCGCCTGTGCCTGTGGTTCTCATGGACGAGCCAACGAGGTATTTGCCGTGAAACGATTTATTAAGAGGATCTTTACTAACCGACATTAAACTTACTTTGAAATTACCAAGGATACTTTCATTGGCGCCGTTTCATCAACGCCTTTGCTATTAATGAAAGAACATGATTCAGCCGGCAAATCAATATTTATACATACGTTCGTTTCTTTTTCTACGCGTAGCGGCATGGACCCGGCAACGAAGGATCTGGTGGCCAAAACGATCAGGCGATTGACGAAGAACCAGTGCTGCGTAATCCTCACCTCGCACAGCGTGACGGAATGCGAGAATCTCTGCAACAGAGTCGGCATTCTGGCGAAGGCTGGTCTCAGGTGCATAGGAACGCCGCAGCATTTAAAACACAAGTAAGCGCTTTCGATCGATCGCGTCGTTTCAACCGTGGCAGGCAATCGAGTTTAAAAGTTCCGCCAGACATTAATACACTAGGTATCAACGGTCGCGACAAAGCGTTCTGTTATTCCGCGCGGGCACCGATATCCGGACGGGATTAATTCCAGCCGGGTGCATTTTAATGATGTTGTTCCAACTGATGGATCCTTCGTGTCGGTTTGATCTCTCCAAAGGCTTTCTGACGAAATTCGCGACGCGACAATTCATTCGCCGCCCTCTGGTTCCTGCGCCGACCGTTGTCGATTGATTTTTAATTTCGCCCATCATTTCCACTCTTCTCGCTGGGAATTCGAACAGATTTCGTTTCCATTCGACGGAACCATTTGGGGATTACCATTCGATTACAGTCACAATGATACTCCACGGTATCGCGGAACGCGTCGCAATGGTTCATCGCACGTTCCTCGATTGCGACGCGCGTGTTTAACTCCTTTCGCGGAATAGAACGCTCGCTGTAAATATGTATTTAAGCCGTGGCACCTTTCCCCTCCGGCGGCAACCCCAGGGAAAATGTCCCTCTTACATCTCCTGCCTTCACCGTTTTCTCTCTTTTCGTTTTCCCTTCGAGCACGGGAGAATTTACGATATCGTGCGCGCACGTGTGCGCACCCGCGCGTTTATACGTAATACGGTAATCCATCCACATTCTCCGGTGAATGTACGGCGAGAAAGAAACGAACCCAACCGATCTTTTGCCACCGCTGTAAACACACCGGGATATCCTCGCGTATGAAATACCGTTCGCAATATCCAGTTATACCGAAAGACCGTAAACTTGTCACATTCAAATTTTTAATTTCGTTGCCTACACTTTCCTTCGTTCACTAAGATCTTTTCATATCATAATTATCTTAGTTTTAATCGAGTAGGAAAATAATGCGATTTTTACTAATTATATTAATTTATATTTTCAGAGCTTTTAACGCCCTAACTAGAAAAACGAACGTTGATCATTGCTTTACTTAATGAACGAGCACATAAAAAGAGATCGAACCGATTTTCGCAATTTTCACTGGTCCTTTGGCCGGATTTCCCTCTCTCCCCGAAATGGCCATGTAAATTTACCGAGTAGCTGCCACGCTGCCTGCCCTTTCCCACAGCATAATTTATCGACGTTGGTACACGTGTACACGGGCGTAAATGAATACGAATAGATGGATCTGTCGTTGGAATACGTGCGACGCGATAAATATTTGTTACGCCGTTTTCATTTCGCCCGCGCATGTTTTCCCTCGTTACCTTTCCTCGTGTCGTATCAGAACTCAGCTCGCGTTATTTCCGCGTTCCCTTGCTCCCACGGTTATGACCTACGCTTACTGTGAGAAACGTTTCCACAATTATTAACAATGATCGATGTTACCACAATTAGATGACTTTTTTCTTAGTTTCAAAATAAAATGATCGTTCTGTTCACAGATTTGGCGAAGGGTACGTGGCGTTCTTACGGTTCCGTCAGCCGGTTTCGTCCACGGATTTGAGGAAAGCCATAGCGATGTACTTCCCGCAAGCTGTGGTCTCCTCGAGACAGGCCAACGCCGCTCGTCTTCTGGTACCACGAAGCCAGGACATGGCAGTGAGCACCAGCTTTAATAAGCTGAAGCTGTTAGCCGAGGAATTGAAAGCCACGGATTACACGCTGACACAAAGTTCGCTGGATCAGGTTCGTATTAACAGTTTTAATGCGGTGGCGTATGAAAACCACCTAATAACGTTTTTAATGAGAAGTTCGACATCGAGACACGAGAGTATATTCGCATTATTCAGATACGAAACGTGCATACCTGATCGAACACGAATCGATCGAGTATTTTGGAAGATCGTCGTGCCAAATACACGTACAAGACTCTTGTCTCGAACAGATGATGCATACCACAGTGCATGCTACCGCCAGGCTGTTAGACCAAGGACGATAGTCTGAGGAATATTAATGGATCTATCGTCTTAGGCTCTCGCACTTGTGTACACTCTCCCGTCCACGGTTTCCAACAGGCTAAGAACCGAGATCCTACTGTATCACCGTCTGCTTCTCCTAAGCTCGGTTAAACGCTTTCTGATTCTCTCTATCGCAACCCCGTCTGTAACCGAGCATCTACTAAATCGTTTCCTATTAATTACATACGCTGAGAATAATTTAACTCGCGTATAACAGATACTGTGCAAACTACCGGATTCATATTTGTTCTAACTCTAAGTAAAACAATGGTTGAACGTTGGTAGAAAACGCGTTAATCTTCCGCGCCAGTGAATAGAGTGTTTTAACGCGAGTTTCTATTAACTTTTTACTGTCGAATGGAAACGAAAGAATTTTTCATTTAAAACAAACCGTTGCGTTAAAAGCAACGATAAGCGGTGGTACTGTGGCGGCGTGTGTTCGACGGTTTTGATCGATCGCAGTTTTCCTTGCTAACGGTATATCATGTGAAAGTCGTCGCCGTCTCGTCCTTCGGGGCGAATTACGCGTTTCGCGACGATCGTCTCTTACATTTTCCGAGAGATTACGCAAGTGTCTGTGTGCCGTGCGAAATACAATTAGAAGTCGGGAACGTGTGCGGCTGGAGAACGTAAAGAGCGAGCGAGAAAGAGGGGATAGAAAAAAGAAAGAGATTTGCATACTCGGCTGGCTGTTCCCTCGTGTCGAATTCAGCCGGCTGGCTACCGTGGCAGCGATTCCATCTGCGAAATTCCCTCGCAGATTCACGCAAGGCGCCGCGAATTTGCATGAGTCTGTTAATAAAGGAGGCGCAATTTGAGCGCTAATTAAAAAAGTTACCTCGAAAGTTCGTGACCCGACCGGAGGAACCGTTGACTTTGTGATTAATGCCACTTAGAAATTTATTCCCGACCGTGTTCCACGTGTCCGAGGTCCTGCCACCACGCGATCGTTCTTTTTCTCACAAACAATTTCGACCCGACCGCTTTTCTTATCACGTCGGAACGCAAACAAATTGATGCAATTATCCGGGAATCTTGCGAACAATTCGATTCGCAGCGCCGGAAACGCCCATTCTATCCGCGGCTCTCTGCGGCAGGTATCCGTCTAAATAATTCATACGTGATCGCGGGGCTGATGTTCGGAATAAGCGCGAGATTCCGCGGCTCTTACTCGACTCAATGGAATCGTGTTCGCATCGTTTATTCCAGTCTCCTTAATGGAGATAAGATTCCGCGGTACCTGTCTCTACGTGTACTTACTTACACGCGGTTGTCACGAGTATTCGTTGATCCGGTTATGTTTACCTACCTGTACACAAAGCTCGCGCTCACACAAAGCTCCCCGGAGATTAACTCGACTTAGAGACTGCTCGTTCTTAGTCCCAGCCGATCTCCCCCGTCTAACCCTAATACTCACCCCCGATAAGCAATTTCAAACACCTTCGAGCCTGGTTAATTGCCATAAAATTCTTCGAATCGTTGCACACGTGTTCAAAGAGAAATGATTCTTTAATTACATCGGGAATATCTTATTTAAATATTTTAAATCACGCTGTTCAACTCGACGCGATTAATCGTCTCACGAGAAAGTCTAAAGTCGAAGCCCCGAGGATACGATTTTTCTAACGATTTTCCAAGTACTCTGTCGATGACGGAGATAATTCAAAGAAAATAGAAAGAGGAGCGGTTAAAGTTGATCGCGCGAAAACACGGAACGTGCGACGACGCGAGAGTATTAATTAACCGAGCAACCAACGGTACGACCGGTTGATTAACAACTCGGTATCGTCGGGAAATTATGAAAACAGCTGAATAATCAGAGGGTCCGGGCCACGTATTATTCGCTGCGTTCCGCTCGGTCGGTTTGTTATTTATTCATCCCTTTATATGTCCCTGTTCGATTAGTACGCGTTACGAATCCGCTCTCATAAATTAAAGGAGATAAAATTAGCGACGAAGTGAATCCGCAAGTAGATATGACGGACGAGAAAGTTAACGCGTAGCGAACTTTCGCGTCGTAAAGCATTTCTCCGTCCGACAAGATCTTTAACGTAGATATGCAGATTTCGCAGATTTCTAGAAATATCACACTGTTAATTATCTACATATTTAACAAAATAAAAGACAATAGGGCATCCATGTCGGTACTGGAATTGAGGAAATCGTTAATTTTCTTACATTATTAAATTGTCAAGCAATACTCTGTATTTTCTCAATTTTAGTTTTATTATAAGTCAACGTTGAGTGTTTGAATTATTCCAGGTGCTGGTGAATTTCTCGGAAGAGATGGACGATGTCGAAGGATCTACGATCTGCACGCAAAGCAGTAGCAACAACGTCTTAAATATTTATTCCAGCAAAGACACTATACACATGGAAACGTTTTGATAGGTTCCACGAGTCGGATCATGTTTACCGTCGATTTTCTTCGTGATCGAATTTAGTTTTCAATGTTGCGTAAACTTTACACGGTTTACAAGGTTTATCTGTTATTAACATATACATATAGATCGTGGTACCTACTGTGATAGCTTTAATTCAATTCTCAAACCACGTTTGAAGTATGTACAGTACGATGGGAGCTTGCGTCAGCCTTCAATGATCAAGTGCCTGCTAACGATACACGATTAGTTATCAATTCTTTTTTTTTTTACATATAGATATCACGATTGGTTAGTTTTTATAGATACATGACTTTCGAAATGTTTGCACAGGATTTATTACTCGGGTTATGTGTGTACAATTAATCAATATTAGTTAATCGATATTGTTTATAGCTATAGTTTATTGATTTTATTCTCTAAAGAGAGAAATCGAGAATAATCGTGCATCGCAAATAAACATTAGTGAAACATTTCTATTCTCTTCGTGTCGGAATATAATTGAATAAAATTAAGAGATCAGATTATAATATAAAAAAAAATTCCATACGAAATCGGTGCTTGTCGAAGTGCTAACATCAGTTACTCAATGCCATGATTATAATTTTATTGTAGATAAATGTATGTAAGTTTTATAAAAATTCTATCACACGATTCACCTAGTGTTTATTTTATGTTCACTATTTATTGCAGAAACTTTCCGTTATCGGTATCAAGCTCAATGGTATTAAAGTTACATAATACAATAAAAATGATAGCTACGTCTCGTAAAACTGCTCGCTTCTAGATATTGTATTAGATATCGTTCAACTGATAACAGCAGGTGAAATATGTCGTAACGAGTTACGTGTGACTAATTGTACGAGGTCGAGAATGTTTATTGATTACACCAGCAGAATCCGGTATACACGGGAATAATTCGAACCAGCGAAAATCCTCCGCCCAGAGAAAACATGTGATTACGCGTTCTTATCACGACCACGTTGAACCGACGCGTAATTGATTTAGCCGGTGATACCGTCATCGTAGGATCGTACGAGACTCGCACCGTAACTGGAAAAAAATTCGTGCTTCCCTCATCAGCGGCGAGAGTTTCATCCTCAGCGAACTTTTTTGAAAACCGCGCCGGTTAAATTACAAAACTCGTACGCGTCAGTCACCGGAACTGACAAGATCCGGATCGTCGAAACGGTGAAAAATATCGTGCCTCGAATTCCTTCTCTGGCGCCGGTGTTCGCCGAAGATTTAATTCGCTGTTTCCCTCGCGTCGACGAAAATTTCGTCGGTGTCAACGAAACGATAGAATCCTCGATAGCGAAAAGAGAAATATATATGCACGTACATGTGTACACGCCCGCGCATATTCCCGCGCACAGAGAGGCGACTCATTTATTTCGATTCGTTCGGCTCGGTGAACGATTAAAAATGGGCAAAGAAACGTTTGTCTTCGGCCGATGTCTACGATCGACAAACGGTAACAGAGCGTGGATACTTGCGCAAACTAGTGAAGAGAGAGATATAGGGGGCTAATTAGAATCGAGGATGAATCGAATCAATAACCGTTCGTTTCAGTTTCTTTGTGCTTTAACTCTATGTCGTGTTTGCAGCCGCGCCGTGCACCGAATCGCAATTGTTCTTCCGAACAGAGACGAGGGAACAGCCGTTAAATTGTTCCATTTCGTCGACCATACTTTGTCTCGGAACGTGTTTTATCGTATTCATTCTATTTCTTTTTGTTACTGGATCTTTGTGAATAAAACATACGGTCACCGGCGTCGTAGAAATGTTAGATAATTCTGGCTCCGACCGAAAACGATCCTCGATTTCATTCGGAGTGCAACTTTTTTGCAATTTTCTTGGTTAAATAAATGCAACGTAACGCAATTCCTTCCTCGGAGGTAGAGCGAGAAAGCAGCAACCGTGGACGAAAGAAACGAGAACAGGGGTAGTGGTACCACCGTTGCGAGAAGAATTGCGTCTAGGGGGAATAGAATCATCTCTCGGCCTCGTTCGTTAAACGCTCGAACAATAATTTCATGGAACGAGTCTTTCCTCGATTATTTATAACAGTGATTATTCGAGGATTTGTCAGCCACGAGTACGGTCGCGCGATGTTAGTGCGACCGGGTAGAATCTACTATCCCAGAACCGATAAAGCTCGAATTAATGTTGGAGAGAGCCTTTTCATTTCCATGGGAACAATGTGATATTCAAATCGATTTTCCTTTATCTTTTCTACTTCCCCACAACTCTTTCCCGTTCTATTTTTCTTTATAAATTTAAGAGAAAACAGATATATCTTATATATTCCTGTAGTTATTCCACGTTAGAGTACCTTTTGACGGTACGTACAATTTTCATTGGAAACATTTTTAACTAATGGCAACAGGTAAGCAGTTATTTGCAATTCACACACGGAAGTTTTTCATATTGTTCTTAATTTTTCGTCCTTATCCACTTTCATTATATTCTTATTTCATATCTATTTCTTATCAATCAAAAAGAAATCGATTCGCACCAACATTATCCAGTGGAGGATTCATCTCGAATTAGACTGCATATTAAGGAGCACTCGAGCCGAATTGGCAACGTGACGGGACTTCGGTCCGACGGAGTTCGCAAGAAAACGAACGGAACGAAGACAGGGATTAAGTCTCGTCGATACAAAAGAACACGTTATTAGCTCGGCTGATTTGCAAGAGGAATAGGGAATTAAACGGGATCAATCCTGAATTAATCCACGAGGAGAAAGCAGTAACAAAGTGGAACTTGATGCGCAACTCGAAGGATTTAAGTGTACGAACAGGGACGATTTATCGATGTCCTTTACACAAGGCACAGCAACGGGATTTTCATCTCTATCGGTCGAACTACGACCTGGTATCATCGATCAATAACGAATCTGACGGCCAACAAATATTTAAAGCGTGATACTAAACAAATGTTCATTGAATTATTGTATCAAATCTCACAATTGACGATGAATTCTGATTTATTAACATGCAACGATTATTCGACGAAGTTTATCAAATCAATCATTCATAGAAGACAATTCTAATAAAATTATCAATTAACGAGTTGTTTCAAGAATTTCCTTTATTGATTCATCCTGCATAATATTGCACGTTTATACATCATACGTAACACTGATCATTTTTAATTGGTTTTATAGCAGACAGTACGAGGAACTCATGTATTAAAGATGTATAGGCTATATACTTAAACAATGCTGGCATGTTGAATTTGTTATTATAGATTCCTATTACTATTAAAAAGCTAAAATTATAGTGATTTCAAATTTTTCATAGGTAATAGTATCATCT